AACGTACTTTCCTGTTTACCTAATAAAAAGTTCCACATATTTTGCTGAATTTCGATATTGTGCATTATTATGCTCTCATAATATGAATTCTGCTAGTTTCATCAACTATGATTTCTATTTTTCTAAAATGCTTTCTGGGCGGCGCCATAGCTCAAGCTGTTAGTCGCTGGCTTCCCGCCGCGGCGGCCCGGGTTCGATCCCTGGTCTGGTCAACTGGGATTTGTGGTGGACAAAGTGGCGTTGGGGCAGTACTTCGGTTCCCCTGCAAATCTTCATTCCACCAATTGCTCCACAATCACCCTCACCTATCATCTGGGGCTGGTACAATAGGCTAGGAGTGGCCTCAGTACAAGGGACTTAGTCCCACCCCACTAGCATTAAGAAAAATGTTTTAAATATCCTGCAAGTGGGGGCGTGTGGGGGAGTGGATTTATATATCCATATTTTCTTGACCTCGGCATTAGTTGTTCATAAGCGGACAGCTTCACGCCCCGGCCGCTTTACCTCCGGCGAATGAGCCCGCGGAACCCATTGAATAGGAGGTTGGGTGAACCCCAGAGCCGGTCTGGACGATTTGGAGAAGAGAAAATTCTTGACCCTACCGAGACTCGAACTCCGACCTCTCAGTTGTGCAGCCCGTAGCCGTCGCTATACTGACTACGATATCCCGGCTCCTATATCATAGAGTAAATCCTTTCAATTAATCTAAAGAGTAAACTTGGCATTCGTCCCTAACAATATCCTTAACTAATTGAATTTCAGATTATTACTTACATTCAAGAATATAATTAGGGAGTGTTCCTTTGGGTGTTTCGGTACTAAAAGTACATAATAACAGTCTTAAAGGGTAATTCTCATATGGACTATCACGACTTCAAAATGCCACAGTAAGTGAAGAGAATGTCAGCCATTCCAACAGATGTCAGAGAGTTCAAGTTATGTTTGCAAAAGTAGGCTGATAATTATTTTATTTTTTTATTGTATCATTCTTAGATGGGTGAGGCTGAGTCCGCTTTGTACTGTGGCCACTACTGGCCTATTGTACCGGCCCCAGATGATAGGTGATAGTGATTGTGAATCAATCGGTGGTTGCCCATATTTTGTAGCAAACAAAAACAAGCTCCTTGGCTTTAGTCCGCAAGTGAACTACACCGATCGAGCGACCGCCGCTTGTCTGTGAAGTTAGTGCCAACTTTAGTGGATACAGGGTGTTGCGTGGTCAGCGCAACGAATCCCCACGGCCGTTAATCTCGGTTTTCTAGACCAGAGCCGCTCTTTCCTTGAAATAGCTACTCAATTATCATCACGAAGCTGAGTAGACCTCGTTCCAGACCCACTACTCCTCAGAAAAAATCTGGTAACGCCAGGAATCGAACCCGGACCTCTGGATTTGTAGTCAGGAACTCTGACCACTAGACCACACAGGTGGTCCTGTTACTACAAACAGAGTTAAAAATGATCTTCCTCGCACTCTGTTAAGTATTCACCATATCGAAAATATCATCATAAAAGGCTAAGGGTTTCTATTCTGTCCTTATATTTCTTTACATATTGTCACGTTTATGAGTGACTAAAGACGGGGCTTGGATTGGTAATTGGATTTCTCGAATATTTACAGAAAGTAACTACGGCGCTATCGCTAATTTACACACTCTGCAGTTCACTACAGCATGCACTAAAGCTTCTCAGTCTGCTGTTTCTCCACCAGTCGTTTTCTGGTAACTGCTTCCAACAGCGGACATTCCCCTTACTCACTGTTCCCGAACTATCCCAGTGCCTCAGCTACCAGCTTCTAACAGCAACAACTCTCAACGACCGAACTGCAACAGTCCTCTAACTAACCCACACCAAACAACTCCACTCATTGCACCGCACCATACTGCACTGCACTACACTAACTGAACTGCACTGCACTCGATCGGTCGAGTGATTTAGCCTCGGAGCGGACCACATTGAAAATACCACTTCCAACAATTCTTCTATTGCTGCCTCATGAAACTGTCGTACGGACCACGTAGAGAACACCGTTTCCCAGTTAGTTCACTGGTGCGTGTTAGGAATTTGTTGCCTAGCAGCGGGTGTTGTTTACAGAGCCATTACTAATCAACGTGTCTACATGCTACAATGTATAACTCAGAAACTAGTTATGAGTAGAAGCAAAAGACAGCAGCAGTGGAACGTAGGCTTGAGTCAATATTGTAATATTCAATAATTCCTCTAGATAACAGCGCCGCATAGTGGATAGTAGTGTTCTATCAAGTTACATGTCTTAGTTTAAAGTAGCTATTTCAACAACTTTTCAAGTTATTCAGGAGAAATAAAGATCCGCACACTTTTACCCTCGGAACTTGATGGAAGTAAGCAGTCAGCTTAACACTCCAGAAGGTTCAGTCTCGATATCCATTTGATAGGATGAGTGAAGCCCCAAACCGATCTACACACTCTAGAGAAGAGAAAATGCATCAGTGGGTCGAACTGCGTTCATCGAGTCCGTAGCCAATCACTTATCTGAATATAATAATAATAATAATAATAATATGAAAGCAGAGAAAATCGCGCCCTTCGTGCGCTAGCGACCAGCTGCATTTCGACTGTCAAATAACGAGTGTAATTGTTAAAGGACAGACTCGGTTCAACGACTCAAGGATTTGACCGTCAATCGGCCGTTGACACATTCAGCCTGTGGAGACCTGACCCGAATGAAGACGGACCGCTCGTCCGGTGGACTGACATGCTGATTATAGGTGCTGCCGGCGGTTGATTTCTCCTTTCCTTCGGTAATCTGCAGTCCTTTGAGGCTGATGAGGTTACAACTTTTCTTCCTGCGTTCTTTCGTTATGTAGACTCCAGGATCCTGAGATTCGTCCTCCACACTCCGATATTTGGTCATTAAATGGCCATGTTGGAGCCGGCATAGCGCAGTCGTTATAGTGACTGGCTACGGGCTGGATGGTTCCTCGCTCGCGGATTTTTATACCCTGAAGATGGAGGCGATATGTTCCTACGAAATCGGTTCACACAAGATCTACGAGGCGCCACATCCCAGAAGACGGTATTCTTCTCAGGATTGTTAATTGCTACGCAATGACATCTAGTAATTCTTATTACGTAACATAACTCCACTGCCCTTTCTATTTTAGGTTTCCGTCTGACAGCGATTTAATTCTTACACGAATTATTTCTTAAGTGAGAGGTGGATTAAAGGAGAAGTATTAGCTCAGAGAGACTTCGGGTTCCGGCGGCGTTATAAAAACTACTGTCGTCTGGGATTTGACGCCGTATAATTGGGCGGAAACGTATTAGGTTCCTCCGAAACGTCAATATATTTATATGAAATTACGCTGCATCACATCATATAAGACAGTAGATTTCTTCATATCAACTCTTTTAGCGTTTGTATTCCAGTTGCTTGACAACAAACGAATCAGATGCTTTGCAGTTTATAACAGGGCACATCCTCTACACCGCTGCAAACTGTAATACAGGAATGTGTTGCGTCTAATCTGACCAGATTTTGCAGGAGAACGTTACGATGTGAAATTCAGGGACGCTCCGCACCGTACAGTGAAAGGGAGAACATGCAGGTAAAAGGTAAAGATGTCTCTGTGCTTAACTAATTAAGCGCTACGCCATGAAGACGTATGGGGGAGTAGATGTATAGACCCACATTTTCCTGATCTCGACACCAGTTGGAGGTGAGTGGTCAGCTTCACGTCCCGGCCGCTTTACCACCGAGGAAATAGCCCCAGGTACCCACTGGATAGGAGGCTGTGTGGGCATCAGAGCCGGTGTGAACGACATGGAGAAATAAAAATTCTTGTCCCCACCGGGACTCGAACTTCGAACCGTTAGTAGTCCAGCCGGTAGCCAGTGTCTATACCGACTGAACTATCCCGGCTTTTAGAAAATTCAGACGTTCGAAATAATTTCTGTCGTGCGTCAAAATCTTCCGTCTTATCCCACCGTTAAAGTCTCCTATGCAGTAGCTGAGGACCGTAATAGGCCTCTCTTTATAGTGTAATGGCCAACATAATGAACAAACGTCGGGTCGGTAAGTGTGGACGTTAGCTAGGGTTTCAATTTCATTGAAATCGATGCTGTGTTTGGTCTTGGTGAAGACTTTGGCTGCCGCATCATCAGGAAAGTCATCGAAATTGCTACATACTCGTACATACACAACTACACCGTAAAGTTAGGCACGAAGTTAGCATTGTCTGACTTCACTTATTTTTCTCTAACCCTTCCTTCTAACTGTACAGGTCCTACTATCGGATAGTACCATGGTTCGCTTTCACTTCCATCCTCATTTCGCGAGACTTATATTTCGGTCCAATCTCTTCCGCCTCATACTCACTCTGAAGATAGCGTCAATAAAATGCCCCGAAACACTGGAACAGATTCAATACAAACCTCGGGGTATCAAACCCGGTAGCAATTGTACACAAGGTTGGGTGGGCCCAAAAGTCGATGTGGACGCTATGGAAAAGAGAACATAATATTTCCCCTGCCAGGAATCGATCCACGATTATATGTTCGTCCAGTAGGCAACGTAGTCGCTATACCGACTGAGCTATCACTTCAAGTACGCAATAGAAGTTAAGTTTCCTGTTTCCTACCCCGGACTTATCAGAGATCATCCAAACCTGAATTTCTGCCAGTATGTATGGTTGCCATGACTGCTAAAGCGAGGTGAAAATACTTCGATTTTTTTTGGACTGGATTTGAATATCAACAATAATATCTCTTTTCAGTTACATGAATATAATTTAATTTAATAATTCGAGTGATTGTTTCTCTTTCAAGTTTTAGCCATTAGATCTTTATATAGTGGCGCCGATAAGGAAAGAAACCATATTCCAACACTTAACGCTTGTCAAACTGACGTGTCCTTCAGTACAGATCCACAACAGTTGTAAAGACACCCATACCGTTAGGCTATTGACCCTCAAGACGTTCTAATAATGACTGCTATAACCCGATTGTTTCGTGTTTGATTCCAGGTTGGCTGTGTGTCTGGCCGGACGGTAGGCTAGGCGTGTCGTCCAAGAGAGAAGGCAGCTTTCGAAGAAGAAATAACGGTGACGGGCAGACGGTGTGTTTGTAACCCGTCATCCTCCACTGAACGAGTTAGGGGACAGACACTCCGTGGGAGTACAGAGCTCTGCACACGAAGACCAAGAAATCGGGTGCTCGCCGACATAAACGAGGAAAGGCATACATTGACACGTAATGGAAACGAACGTCAACTCTCTCACTCATGGAGCTGAGCCCTTCTTGAGAAGCCGCCAATTGTGCAGCTGCTCAAGAGCTTCCCAGCATTTTATGGAACTCTTTCAGATTCATTACCGTGTTCACAAGAGCCCTCCACTGGTGCCTATCCTGAGCCAGATCGATCCAATCCATACCATCCCATCCTAAGGCCAAACTAATTTAAATGAGGTCGCAGTCTTTTAGGTTCCTGGGCTTCCAGATTAGAAATGTTTACATTTGTTTCCTATACTGGCTGATTGTTTATTTAATGACATTGCTTCAACTGCTCGAAACGAGGTGTGAAGACGAAGGTTTTGAAAGGAGATATCATGGAAATTTAAAACTAACATTCCTCCTTCGAGATACTGAGAAAAATGCGAGCATTCTTAATCATAATAGTCGATTTTTTACGGCCTCCCCTATATAATTCAGAAGAGAAACAAATGCCGACGGGATTCTAGATAGATACTATGGACGAAAACTAGGAAACGTTGTCTTACAGAGCAGAACGAAATGAAAGATCAAGGGAACCTCCCCCAAATCCCCCAGCAGATGTGATAATTATTAATCTAGTACGGCGGACACAATAGAGTCCTGTTACATAGACAATTTCTCACTTTGGGGAATTATTGCAGTTAGCAGGGTACTTGTGGGAGAGAGAGCAGTATAGCAGAACCAGAGGCAACTTAAGACGTCATATTTCGCAGACATTTCGCGCTATATGTTAAATAATCATTGATTTATGAATATCTTTTGTGTACATCCTGACAATTAATTGGCATAATCTAAACTAACGACCGTTTTCGTTAAAAATGTCTGGGAGTTTCGTTTTCTTAAGTGTGGTAAAGCTTTACGCGAAATTTATCTGCTTTTAACTGATTCAGAGGCGGAACTTTGGCTTGGATGAGCCCTGCGTGGGAGACATCATTAAGAAACATGTCTAGTAATTTCATGACCTTCAAATTCTTGGTGAAATGAAATCATCTGCTTGTGCCTAAATTAAGTTTAACTAACTACGTCTTATATTCGTACACGGAAAAAAGATGTACTTCAAGATGAACAGGAATTGCAAACACAGGCCCACGAGTGTCCATTGCATTAAGGTAGAAATCGGCGCTGGATGTGGACACAGCTCTCCGCAGCTTGACTCTTTGGCATTTAAACAAATTCCCATATGAGCCGAGATAGCTCAGTCTGTATAGCGACTGGCTACGGGCAGGACGACTGAGGGGGTCGGAGTTCGAGTCCCAGTAGGGTCAAGAATTTTCACTTCTCCAATCATCCAGACCGGCTCTGTGGTCCGCCCAGCCTCCTATACAATGGGTACATGGGATCATTCCCTGGGGGTAAAGCGGCCGAGTCGTGAAGATTACCACTCACCTTCAACTAATTCCGAGGTCAAGAAAATGTGGATCTATACATCCACTCTCCTATACGTCTTCATGGCGTAGTGCTTAATTAGTTAAGCACAGTGACAACTTCACATTTACCTTTACCATACGGAGTAACATGAGTTTAAGGACGAAATTAATTAATTAATTAATTAATTGCCTTGAAATATAACAATCAGATTTACATAAGTTTATCTATGAATGAGTTGGCCATAATTTTATTATTTTTCATAATAACGGCAGGAATTCAAATAAAAAAGTATGAGATAGGCGGGGCACAATAGCACGTACGGGAAAGAGGATCAATCCGTACAAAAGTTTTGGCAAGAAAACAAGAATGAAAGAAGTCATTTAGAAGACCTAGGACTAGGTGGGAAAATAATATTAAAACGGACCTTAAATATGAGGGGAGCGTGTAGACTAGATCAATTTGTCTCAAGATAAGTATCAATAGGGATATCTTGTGAAAGTGGTAACGAACTCTCGGGCTCTATAACATTTAGGCAATTCATTCTCTAGGTTCTTGAGAGAGTCTACTTTTAAGGAGTTGCCTTAGTTAGTTCGACAAGAATGCAAATAAAATGTTGCTTCATCACTCAATATGCATCTCCGAATGTAATTTTCATCAGTTTCTACGAATATCTTCGGCAAATTGAAAACGGCGGGGTTTGTCGTCCGGCTTTAAAGCCTGCAAAATCTGCACTTTAGGGGCAAAGGCGGTTATGAACAACCCTCCAGACAGTCGTCTGTGGCATACCTAACAGCAAAGAAGTTCATCTAGTTGATTTCTGTGGGCTTCGGGAAACGCTTTCTGGATTCGATCAACATCTTCCTGCGAAGTGCTAGGTGTTCCAGCTCCTTTTCGGTCCAGAACACTACAGATCCCTTGAAGTGGCTTTAACCAACGTCGGATAGCATTCTCTGAACGTGGATCTCTCCCGTATGGAGTTCTAACGACGTTGCGTTTCTTTAGCAGACTTTCTTTCGAAAAACCAAAGCACGCACATTGTTTTCTCTTAAACAGTCGCCATTCTGAGGCATGACTTCATATTTTCTTCCAGACATCAATGCGACGAGTTGCCAAATAAAACGTTTTGAGTTACAGTTTCATGTTCCCTTACTAATTTTATTTATTTTCTTTTTTTCGATTTCAAAATTATAGGCCATGAAAACCCCGACAATAATTTAGAATCATATTCTATATTAAATATACTATTACAGAAATTATCGTATTTTTTTTTTTCAAATATTTTAAGCAGGACGGTTCAGTTAGTCAAGCGATTGGATAAGGACCGGATGACCCAATTCCATTTCCGGCAGGGGCGCACCCAGTTACTTTAAATTTAGGTAGATCCAAGGGATGTTTTTGCTAGCGGATAATTGTCGGCGCGGTGACATGAACCAAAACTACTTCCAGTGTCAAGATTAAGTTGTATATCTCCTCCCGCATATGCCTTTATTACATGGTACTTAAGCTTAGATAAAATTTTAACTTCTTTTCTGGAATATTCATCTATTAATTGTGAGGCAGGGTTGTTCGCCGTTACTGGTTAAAACCCAGAGGTTTTCTTTCTAGTATATGTATGTAATTTTTGGGGGCACGCGGTAGCGTAGTTGGTTGAAGCACTATGCTACAAGCACGAAGGTCGCGGGATCGAATCCCGTTGAGTTCATTGGAGTTTTTTAAATTTACCTAATCCTTCCAGCTGCACTGTGATCCTGGGGTCGACTTAACCTCTAACAGAAATGAGTACCAGGGATATTCTTGGGGGTAAAGGGCGGCCGGTGCGTAAGGATGACAACTTTACCGCCATCTATGAGCCGATTGTGTAGATTGTGGGAATCTCGACGTCTCACAACCCTATGGGCCTCCACGGCCTGGTACAGGGATAGCTTTACTTTTATATGTAATTTATATAAGCACACCTCTTGTACAAACGTGTAATTCTCCTATCATATTCGTCTTTTCCGCGGAGAACCCAAGAGAAGACGCCAAAAGATATTATGAAATTTGCTCTAGACTCTTGCCAATACGTACAGTAGCTGTCCACAGTACTACGATGGAGTATTTTCAATGCGATTCGAAACCTCNGGACCGGATGACCCAATTCCATTTCCGGCAGGGGCGCACCCAGTTACTTTAAATTTAGGTAGATCCAAGGGATGTTTTTGCTAGCGGATAATTGTCGGCGCGGTGACATGAACCAAAACTACTTCCAGTGTCAAGATTAAGTTGTATATCTCCTCCCGCATATGCCTTTATTACATGGTACTTAAGCTTAGATAAAATTTTAACTTCTTTTCTGGAATATTCATCTATTAATTGTGAGGCAGGGTTGTTCGCCGTTACTGGTTAAAACCCAGAGGTTTTCTTTCTAGTATATGTATGTAATTTTTGGGGGCACGCGGTAGCGTCGTTGGTTGAAGCACTATGCTACAAGCACGAAGGTCGCGGGATCGAATCCCGTTGAGTTCATTGGAGTTTTTTAAATTTACCTAATCCTTCCAGCTGCACTGTGATCCTGGGGTCGACTTAACCTCTAACAGAAATGAGTACCAGGGATATTCTTGGGGGTAAAGGGCGGCCGGTGCGTAAGGATGACAACTTTACCGCCATCTATGAGCCGATTGTGTAGATTGTGGGAATCTCGACGTCTCACAACCCTATGGGCCTCCACGGCCTGGTACAGGGATAGCTTTACTTTTATATGTAATTTATATAAGCACACCTCTTGTACAAACGTGTAATTCTCCTATCATATTCGTCTTTTCCGCGGAGAACCCAAGAGAAGACGCCAAAAGATATTATGAAATTTGCTCTAGACTCTTGCCAATACGTACAGTAGCTGTCCACAGTACTACGATGGAGTATTTTCAATGCGATTCGAAACCTCATTTCCGATCAGACTTTCATTTCCTGAATTGAGAGTTGTTCCTCGTGTATGAAGAACGGGTCCTTGTAACTGTCTTGCATAAAATTTCATTCCGGTATAAAAATAACTACTTCCGTATTATTCCGGTCAGAATCTCTGTATCCAAGACTGGATCTAATTTTATAACAATTCTACCTGCTATTGCTTAGAAGTCCCTGAATGCCGTTAAAGACGAAATGAAATAATAACATGTGAAAGGAAGCGTTATAAATAATCTTATAGGTAAGGTAAAAGGTAAAGTTGTCCCTGTAGGCGTATGGAGGAGTGGATGTATAGATCCATATTTTCTTGGTCTAACGCACCTGGCGCTTTACACCGGGGGAAAGAGCCCCCGGTACACACTGGAAAGGAGGTTGGGTGGGCGCCAGAGCCGGTCTCGACAACGTGGAGAAGAGAAAATTCTTGATCCTACCGGGACTCAATGTCCGACCCCTCGGTAGTCCTTCCCGTAGCAATTCGCTATGCCGACTATCCCGGCTTCTTATAAATAATCTTGTGCATAAAAAACGTTAAACATACATACAACTTGTAGGTACATGAAAATATATGGAAGAAAGTTCCGAAAAGAACCTAACGATTTTCCTTTGTCTTGAAAACATTAAAATCGTTTAAACACTTAACGACAATATATCAAGGAAACTGAATTTTCTGTTTAAATGGAGTTAGATTCAAATCTGAAATTTTCGCTGGACATTTCCTGGCACGGGCACTTGAGAGGCGTTTTAAACGTAATAGCGTCTTAATTTTC